GACTTAGGTCTGAATGGCTCTAGGCTAAGTGGGAGCTTGTTAGTATTTGGGGGTCCTAGAGACAATCTTATGATTAAATAAGGACAGAGATGTAGACCTTTTTAATATTGTCGGAAATAAATAAAAGCACTATTTATCTTGTTTCATAATTATGTCTCGATATTAATATTAATATATTATGAATAACTTGATAAACCCCGTGGAATAAAATAGGTATCTCTTGAGTATCTGTGATGAGATCACAATCATGAGGATTCAAGAATACCGGATGTTCATTCCTAATTTTTATGTTCCTAGTCTAGAGATACTGAGAATGGGGTCAGTAATCTCGGGTAAGACTAGCACGACTTATCTATTTGTATATGGATACAAGGTATAGACATCATGTGCTACAGATATGGAGATGTCTTAGCTAAAGTCGTGGGTGGACCTATAAGGGTATAGCTCGAACTGAACGGACCCACAAAGAGACTCTATGAGGAACTCTCACAGAGAGTATCATTAGAGTAGTCTCTTTATATTTGGGTATGTCTTTCCTAAGACCAGAAGTTATTACCTAGACTGTGTTCTAGAAGGCATGCTTTGATTATGCACCTCGTCTGCCTGAAACATGGAGACTCATAGGTATACTGTTGGGCTTGTCCTGAAAGAACACAGGGCTAGGGTGATAAGCTGAAGGAATTCGTCAAATCTCTGTGAGAGATTAGGTTATCTGTAAACCGGAGAAATCGGGATGACATTTACAGGGACTCGGGAATCTATGCATAGTAAAAGAGATCATGAGATGATCTGCCTTTAGAGTCTGTAAATTGAAGATTCCCTATTTCGAATAAAGCTTACCCTAAACCGCAGGGGTTGATACGCTTCCTTACCCTAGGTATTATGGGAAGGTAACCGAGACGAAATGAAATATATACGGCAACCAAATATGTTTAATAGGATGATCAAATCATTAATCTAACTAGTTCTGGGGCAACAAAGCATTGCTAGTGCTCTGTGTTGTCATTAGATGAGTTGTGGGCTTATTGGGCCCAAGCCCATTTATGTCAGTAGCTATGTTGGACCTAATGGGTCACACACAAACACCTAATTGTCTAGATGCTCTAGCATTAAAGGTATTGGGCCTAATAATAGTTATTAGCCTAAGAAGTTGTTTGGAACTCCACCTAAAGGGGTGGAGGGCGCATGGTTCATTGTAATGGGCTTGGATAGTCCAAGACATTACTAATTAATTTAATTAGTTAAATTAATTATCAAACATTTAAATTTTGAATTTTGGAATTCGAAATTTGAATTTTGAAATTTTGAATTTTGAATTTGAATTTCGAAATTCGAATTTTGAATTTGAAATTTGAAATTTGAAATTTGAATTTTGAATTTTGAAATTTGAATTTGAAATTTGAAAATTTGAATTTTGAATTTGAAAGTTTGAACAATTGAATTTGAATATTTGAATGTTTGAATTCAAATATTTGAATTGCCTATGGAAGGTTGTTTCATAACAAAAGGATAAGATGAGATCTTGTTGGAACAAATCACTAGTATCATGAGAGAATCTTTTGGACAAGATCCAAGGCCATATATGGCGCTGATTTGGGTTCTTGGTGAGCAAGATTTGCTCATCAAAATCAGCTCCAGAAGATTCAGTCAGTTGGGAGAAAATCTGAGTGAGTTGATTCAAATTTGAATGCCACTACTCAGATGTATCTGGTCACCTTTTTGGGCTATATGGGGCGCACCATATAGCTGATCTTATGAAGATTTCTGATCAGAATTTTGAATAGGTTTTGAACCAATTCTCAAGAGAATATTCTAGGAGCCTGTTAGCAATTTTTGAAATAAAACAGCTCCACTTCTCTCTCTCCTATCTAGCGCCTAATGATCAGATTTTTAGGAGAAAAATCTGATTGGTATTTTATTTTAAATACTCTCCTCTTATGTGCCTAAGTGTTCAGTTGTTCCTCCAAGGGTTTTTCTGAAAACCTAGCCTATTCTCTCCTCTCTCCTGCGCCACTTGTGAAGCTTTCACATTGAGAGCTTCACTTTTTCAAACACTTTCACCTAGCCTCCATCTTCACACATAGAGCGCCTAGCAAGCCTCTTTGTGGTGATCATCCGGTGGCTTCACAAGAAGGAGTTCTTGCACCTAGACGAGTGGGTGGTGTGGATCAACGTTAGAGGGTCTGAACCCTTCAGACCGGCCTTGATCATCTGGTGATTTCACGAACAAGGTAACATCATGCTTTCCTAAAGCATGATCTTGATGTGCATGTATATTCCGCAAAGAAAAATTTTATTTTTCCCTCTTGCATACATCGGTCTTCAAGGCCATTTCGAATAAGGCTAAAGATAGTAACATATACTAAAATGATAGAAATATCTTCTTATTTTAATTATATCTTGTTCTTACCTCTAACCTGGACAACCAAAGGCTCCTCCTTTTGTTGGGATTGAGTTTTACTGCGACTTAAGGAGGAGTCTAAGTCATCATCATTGGATAAAGTAGTTGTATTGACATTTGTTGAGTGGGCATCTAGATGGCTGCCATTAATTTGTTGTTGCATATCTTGCAGAGTTTCACTATCATTACCATTATATAGTTCTCGTAACTTCTCCAACATGGCTTGTCCTGAATTCTTGTACTTTTGCCTCATTTTGAACTAAATACCTGCCCACTTTGATTCGTAATTGCTCAACAATAAAGAAGTAATAAGATATGCCTGCTGAAATTTATAAATTAATCTACGTTGATCCAAAGATGAAGCAATGATACTGTAGTTAAATTGCATGAAGTAATGAATATAGTATATATACTTGTCATATGGTAGATCAGAACATTTCACAAAGGTAAAATACACAATTTCATTAGCATACTAAATGATTCATAGTATAGTATTAACAATCACAATAGTGTAAATTTATAAAGTAATGACAAAAAGTAATAAACTATTTTAACATTCTTTCATCATCTCCATCACTACAACTATTATGATCTCCATCATAATTTGGTTCATCTTTTTCAAAAGTAAACCATCAAACGATAAATTAGTAAGCAATAGAAAATAAATATAAATAATTAGTTAAAAGACAATAAATATAGTGAATAAAAATATTAGTGGATAATTTTGAATTTAGTTTCTTAAATTATCTATAACTTTTAAATATTTGAAGTAGGAGAAAGGAAAAGTAAATATGCCTCAATAATTCTCCTTAACAATAATGAGAGTTAAAATACTTTGCCCAAGTAAATTTTTTGTCTACTCAAGCAAATGTCTTTACATCAATACCGGGATAATAACAACACACTATCACATACAGTAACAAAATTTGAGAAATAATTAGCTTTATTTCTAACTAAAAGTGAAAACTCAAGTTTCAATGTATGACAAATAATATCGCAGTATAATATATTTTCTACTAAGCATAGATTAAATGAAAGTCTTGAGATCTGTTATTACAATTCAACCACAAGCAATAATAAAACCAATAATAGTACTGCCAAGTCGAACACCCAAAATTTGCAAATAATAGAAAATTAAATCACACTTAAATGTGAATTACCACAAATTTGATCCCACTCTATGGTAGCTATATTCTCTACCTGGATACAACATGAAATTTACTAGAGTAGACTAATCAAATATCAAAGAAAAACTAATTTCCACACTTTACGAAGATTATCCTATATTTGGAGGATTTGCGTGTTGTATTGCATTTCTCACGCAACAATAGGTGAAAACGCTATATGAACACCAAATATACAACTTCAATGTCCTAACACATCTTTTCACTCAAACAATACATCATATAATATGTGGGTTCTTCTTAATAATAGAATGTATATAAAAATTCATATACCAAAGTAACAATCAAAATGAAATGAATCAATCTACTTAACATCACTTGGTATGATTACGACCCATTTTATACAATATGCTCAAATTATATATATCAGTACAACATACTTGCCAAGTAGCAGAATAAATAGAATTCAAGCTCTGAACTAAGCTACAAGGATAACAACTCTCCAAGTATTGACAATAATATAAGAGTGTATATATAAATTAAACAAATTTGTAATGAGAGTAACCATTATAATTTCTCCCATTGTGGGTTCTCGTTTGTTTGAATTACATGCCATTCATCAAAATCAGCATAATTACCTTTCAAAATATTCAAGTTCTATAATACACACACATGCACACGAGGCAATGGATCACTACAAGGAGTTTACACAACTAGATTGAACTGAACAGTGCCTCAAAATAATAAATCTTAACTTGTAGAAATAGGAGAATGGGGATTAATAATAAACTATTAATCCTAAAGGATAAATCAATTTATAAACATCAATTCATGTATATTCTAAGTTTCTAACCAATTATAACAAAGAGGGTGAAAATGGGTAACTCACTGCTAAATTTATCTAGTAGAATTTTGTGAAGAGTAGCCATTTGTTTTTGAGTTTGTACAAGTTGTTCCTTATTCTGTTCATATCCAACCTTCATTCTTCATATCCATCCAACTTCACTACAAGAAAAACGCCATTTGGGCACAATCGATTTGCCAGGTTTAGAAACATGTGGCAAAATTTGTAAAGAATTCTAAACATACCACGTTAAGACACGTAGCAAAATAAGGGGTGTAGGAGTGGGGTTAGTATTAACCACCCGAATTTGTGATCATGGACGCTCCATCTCGTTGGTTTATATAAACCCACCCTCTTCCCAAATCCTCTCCATGGTCTATTTATCTTATGTTAATAATTTTTTTTTCTTTCATTCAATGTTTTGGGGATTTTTGGAAGCTTGATCTGATCAATTGGTTTCTTTCATTCTCGATTCCTGTTGGTAGTGCATTTTTGTTAGGGTTTATCATCTTCATTCGATTTGGATTAGTCGCGCCTTTAATTTGGAAAATTCCTTTGTGCGCCCAAGCTGGATGTGATGGTGGAAGAAGAAGAAGCACCACAACTTAAAGAAAATAAAGTGCAGGTACAAATTTGCTGGTTTTATTACTCAAGATGTACAGTGCCCACAAGGTGTTTGTGGTATTGTTCTTGATTTGATTTTTTATTTTATTTATTAACGAGTTCGTAAAATCAAATAGGATAATCAATCTTTCCTCTTATCTTCAAATCAATCATCCACATAATCATGTTAACACTTACATTACATTAGCTTGCATATCTTGTATTAAGTAATCTCGTTTACTTAAAGAGCATATATGGTTGCCTTTGGTCTCTCGCGTTACACCCATACACATATCCCTTGCATTACATTAAGTGCTTTAGAATTTTAAGATAGAAATCACCACCCAAATAGTATCTCATAATAACGTTATAGAGCTAATGGTTTATATATGCATCTGAATAAAATGTGCTTCTCATTAAAAGAATCAGAAATACTGAAGCTAAGTATCTAAGAAATATTAAGATTTATTTTTAAGTTATTAAATCAATCTTAAGTTTGTTACTATATTATTATATTTTTATATTATTGAATCTCAAAAAAGGTTACTATAAAGTTTATAATATTTTTATAAAGTTTATATTATTATTATTTTTTAAGGTATAAAATTTTAAGGTATTGAATCTCAAAAAAGGTTACTATAAAGTTTCTTTTAAAAAAATTGATTTATTTGTATATTATTAAATCAATCGTAACTCTGTTAGTTCTAACTTCTAACACTAGTTACTAAAAAGTACTTTTAATTGTGAAATCCGTGCTTGGCTGTTTCATGGAAAGATTTTTTCACCCTTGATGAGAAAGAGCGTGAGAAGGGTGCTAAAGACTTATATGAGGCTCTGCAGTTTTTTGAGGATATATAGAAGACTTGGCACTCTCTGCTCCTTCAAAGCTCTCTATGAAAGTCTTGCTGCTTTAAAATAGATGAATTTAAGTGATATTTAGAATTTGTAAGGAAATCTATATGAACCACTTGTCCCTATGAGATGCTCCAATTCTTCTGTCCCTTTCACTTCACCTAATTTTGAGATGGAGCCTGATCTCACGCTTAACAATGAAGATCTCAAGCCAACTACACCTACCCAATGAACCTTTTTAGGGTTGGAAATGGCTAGCCTCTGGGTAGCACTCATTGTGGGAGTCCCTTCCTACTACCTAGCTAGTAGCCTTGTTGACATTGGAATGGCTTTGTGGCAAGGCATAGCCACAGTGGTTGCAGCTAATATAAGATCGAGACCTTATATTGTTGAGCAGCCTAAGGAGGACAGAAAGAGAGTTGATTTGACAAAAAATGTATATGCAGGCATTTATTTCTTTTAGTGTGACATTGATTTATGGCAATAACTTTCATCTTTTTGCTTAATTTTGCTTCGTGTTCCTGTAGGTATTCGACTTGACAAACGAACGGTTTCTTGTCCCGGAGATGATCTTCTGTCCTGCTGATTTGGATATGTCTTTGTGTAATTTAATTCTAGTACTATTTTCAAATGATATATAAGTTAATTCTTTGGATGATGAGTTTCTTTGAGTGGACTGCATATGAGGATTTTAATTAGTCTAATTTTGTATCATTTGCCCATTGTGAATAACAAACTGTTTTTCTTTTCTCTACAAAATATTGCAGGAGTGAACCAGGTTGGGCTAGCACAGTGCATTGTACGGGCTGTTAATTCTTGCCACCCACATCTCCACCCTGTGCTCTATGAAAGGTAAATAATTCAAACCATTGCATTTGATTCTACTCTCCTGTTTGTGGATATAAAGAGGTTGATCAACCATGCCAAGTGCTCCAAACTTGTTCAGTCTCTTAGGTTCACTTCACATGACAACAAATGTATGTTTGTTTCTGTACCAAAGATCAAGCAGAGGAGCCAAGATCAAGATCAAGAGAATGAACTAAGGGAACCTCAGAAAATAACAACAGATAATGTCTTTCAGGTTAGATTAGTTTACACATTCTCCTACTCTGCAAATTACATTTTACCATTTTATAGCGTTTCTCTTATACAGTTATGAAGTTGCATAACTGTCCTTTTCTTCTTTCTTCTTTCTTACTTTTAATGATTTAGTTCAAGTGTTATTTTCCAGATCTCCAACTCAACTAATAGTTACAAAGAAATATTTAAAAGGAAAAAAGAAATACAAGCTAATCTAATAACATTTTTTAAGACGATTTCAGAAGTAGTTTGAATAATAAATTCACCTTAATGCGTAACTAGTTTTGCCTGCATCTTTGTCACATGGAAAAACAAGTTCACAAAGTCATGGTAATTATGGGAAGAAGATATATTGCTTTAACTTTTTTGTCTGGGGGAATCGAGTTTCACATATAAATTTGTTTTTCATTTAATACCATTCTAATAACAATATTTTTCTTTTTTTTCAGATACAGTTCCCCCAACAGCATATGTTACTGCCCCAACATCTTTCACAAGTTCTTTAAATGGTTTGTGATGTCTCCCAACATTGAAGATTGTCAGGCCCGTAAGAAGCTAAAAATCAAAACTATATTCAATATATTGGGTCCCATGTTAAATCCAGCTCAGGCACCCTTTGCAGTTGTTGGAGTATACATAGAAGACTTGGCAAGTTCCATCATAGAGAATTGATGGTAATATATTCAAATAATCTTACTGAAAATGATTTTGCTATCATTCTATATCATTTACATGCATTGTAATCTTTGTAAGTTTTTTGAAAGCAAATTTTTTGAGTTAAGAGTAGAATACATAATCAAGAAAGGAGAAAATATAAGAATTCTATTTGCTCATAAAATTTGCAGCTTGAAGATTGATAGTTGTGAAAGCAGCTCAGATTTTGAAGTAATTGGTTTACATTGAAACTTTGTAATAGAGTTCAACCCCTTTCTCTTGTCTCAACCTATTTTTGTCATTTTTTCTTCTTTATTCCATAAACATTGGTGTGTGGGGCAACTGAACTCTGGTTTTGAGGTTCTGATTACTGTTTTTTCTTTCTTCACAATCTTTATATTTGTAACCTTCAAAAGAAATGTAGATTACATGCATATGTATGAGTAGGTACTTTGTAATCAATTAAGCGAAGGGTAAGTTTATGTTCTATGTCTTCTTGTGTTTGAAATTTTCATAATTATAAATGATTTTAAATTTTTTTATTATGCAGAGTATCATCTTAGGCAGTTCAATGCAAAGACAGCAAAACTAAGAACACATCATTTGGAGCCTCCAAATGTTTGCCAAAGTTGATTAATTTAATTTTTGGTTCTCATATTTGTAAGACTACAATATGTTTATTTTCTCTTAATATCAGGGACATCTTCAACCAATCTGATTACTTTCTCACCAAATTGAATACTAATATGTTATTGTCTTTGTATATTGAAAGCATGGCCACTGGATATCTTTGAATATTTCTACTTTTGTGCTTTACTTTGGTTGTTCTGTTATCTCTTAATAGGGGAGAGTGGGACCTTGCTTTACTTTGGTGGTTCTGTTATTTTTGTGCATCCATGTTCCGCATTTCATCAGTAGGTGATCATATTGTTTAGTATAATAGTAAACAGATCGAAGCTTGCTCTTGCTAAGTTGGAATTTAAAGCTTCAACTTCTCAAAGTGAAGCTAATAATGGATTTTGATAAATGGCCGATAGGTTAATAACTGGAAAAAAACCTAAAATTTGAGTAGCAGCATATTATAAAAGAAATAGAAATGAATACTTTTTTTTATTCTCTTCTTATAAATTAGCCACATTTATAATGTGGCTAATGTTAAAATAAATGTGGCCAAAATAATGCTACCACACTCATGACAGCAGTAGCAAAGTGAGAAGAAAAATGTGGCTAAATAAATGCCACGCCAGGATTAGCCACGTTTGGCAAAACTGTGGTAGTTAGTTTTAGCCACGTTTTTGGTTAAGATTTGCCACGTTTTTAAACGTGGCTACACAACGTGTTTTTTTGTAGTGCGCGTGGCAGGCTGTGGCAGAAACTGTCTGCAACGTAATCTCACTGCACTGTGCAACGGCTTATGTGGCCATAAACCTGCTATCACGTATCCACACCTAACTTGCCAAGTGTTGTAACGAGCTAAGTGACGTGACTTTTTGAAGAAAAAAATTCATAACATTCAAGTAATTTTTTGTAAATAGTGTGACATTTTGCTCATCGTCCCTCATTCTAGCGATACATAAGTATTTGAATGTTTACTTTTTAAAGCAGGAAAAGTGCCTCTTTGGGTAGCCTTATTTTTAATTTTTCTTTTTTTATAAGAAAATTTTTAGCACAATATTCTTATACAAAAACGTTATTATAAAAAGAGTTTTTTATTATGATGAATAAAAAAATAATAGTTAAATTTTTTTTTAACTCCCACCTTGCCACCACCCATATTACCGCCACTATCATCACCAACAAATTTGCTCTTATAATTTGTGTTCACCTTTTTAGTAATTTTGTACCAAAAAAGAACTTTTTTAAATTTTAATATCCAATAATGTATTTAATTAAAAGTATTTTTCACATATTACATCTAAATACAAAATAACTTAACTTTTTATAAAAGTTTCTTTTTTTTGGTAATCGACTTTTTATAAAAGTTATTTTAAAATAATAAAGGCATGAAAAGTCTTTTTATCAAAAACTCATTCAAACGGCATGTAGAAGTAAAAAGAATAAGATAAAATATGTTAAAAAAAAATTCATAGCTAAAATTTCTTACTTCTAATCTATTTATTAATTATCATTTTCTTAGACGTTGGATATATTCGAAAAGGAAAGTTAAGGAATTTGATAAATTATCGCAAATAATGATATTAGACAAACAAAACAGAAAATAATAAAGTAACTCCTTATTAAGAATGTTCTGCTAATAAACCGTTATTCTACTATTCAACGTTGAGCGGGAAATTATTAAAGAAAGCTAATTCTCTCCGTGCAGCCCTCACAAAACAATATAATATACAGTATCACTATCAGTTATCCTCACAGGACCAACCATTTGCTTCTCTGTTTAAAATCTACAAGTTTGTTACGGAGCTAAGATTGAGGTGAGAAATTTACTAAAAAATTTCTAACAGGAAGAGAGGCACGACAAACCAGTTGATTAATAAAACGCAGAAGCAGTTAACCTTCTTTAAAGCAATATATAGTAGAAAATTAACATTCCATTTTTTATGCAAAATTTTTATATATATATATATATATATATATATATATATATATATATATAGGGGAAAGATCCGTTTACAAATTTTTTTTTACAAATTTATGCAAATTACACTATGTACTCCCGAGAGAACATAGTGTAACCTAGTGTTCTCCCGGGAGAACATAGTGTAGTTTGTAAACAAAAAGTTTGTAAATATAACCCTCCCTAAATATATATGGAAAAAACATTTCTCAAGCAGCTTGATATAAGTTTATCTCCGGCTAGCCCAAAACTACGTCGTTTTATTTTTTTATTTCCTTATATTAATTTATTCACCTTTGAATGGTTATGATTCTCTTTTCTCTCTTTTCCTTTATCACCATTGATCCATCTTTGTGCGGTTATGATTTAGTAGCCGGAGATAAGATTATCTCAAACAGCTTGAGAAACGATAAGCCCATATATATATATATATATGATTTACGTTTCTCTAGCTGCTCGACGTCTAGTAGTCAAATAGTTATCATATATAGGTGAAAATATTAAGTGTGAGAAATCATAATTATACAAAAGGTGAAAGCATAAAATATGAGGAATCATAACCATTCACCTGTCATTGCTGGACGTCAAGCGGCTAGAAAAATGATTTTACTATATATATATATATATATATATATATATATATATATATATAATACAATTCAACTTGTGAAAAAGGTGTTAGAATATATATTGTATACTTAGCTATTTGTACTTGGGTTTTTAGTCTTTACTCTCTCTTTTTTTAGCTTTTCTTCTCTTTATAAAGCTAGGTCAAACTTATTTTTACAAAAGCTCTTAAGAGTTTTTTTTTTTAATAATGAAGAAAAAAGTTAAGAGCCAAAAGCTCTTATAAGTTTTTTTTGAAATATGTGTTTTTTTTGTTGTTGAAATAAACAGCTTTTAAGCTAAAATTTTGCATACAATTATAGTAATCACCAAATAGTTTTTAGCTTTTTCTTAAAGTTTTTTTTTAACTTTAACTTAAAAAGAGAGAGAATCCAAACCGGTTCAAGTGTCATTGACAATTACCACGGGTGTGGAGCACTAATGTGGGACATTCTAATGGCTAGCCATAAAGCTTGATAATGAAGAAAAAAATTAAAAGCCAAAAGCCTGTCTGGATCATCTACTTTTTTAAGCTAAAGCTAAAAAAAAAGAGTTTAAAGAAAAGCTAAAAATATTTGGTTGTTACATAAAAATTTTAGCTTAAAAGCACACATTTTAAGAAAAGCCTCTCTTTCTCTCTATCTCTTTGGAAATAAATCTTTGGTATTACTGTTGTACCAAAGATTCAGTGTATCCCACCGATGAAAATATTATATGTCAGCTAAAATTCTTTTTTTTTTTTCTGTCAATTTTTTTTTCTCTCCTCTGATGTGTAATGCTCTCATTGATGGAATGCACTGAATCCAGGTACAACAGTAGCATCAAAGATTGATTCTCTCTTTGGCTCTTCATTAACTAAAAAACACACAATTCAAGAGCTTAAAAAAAAACTCTTCCTAGGAGTTTTTGTCTTTTAGCTTTTTTCTTCATTATATATATAAAAAAGAGCTTTTTATTATAATAGCTTTTGTCAAAATCTGTTTGGCGTAACTTCTACTTATAAGAAAAAGAGAAGCTAAAAATAAGAGGATCCAAACAAGCACTAAATAGTTGCATTTGCATCAACTAATTTTCAACTACTAAAAATCATCATGCTCAAATGAGTAAAAATATAAGGATTCATTAAAAAAGAAAAATAAGGATAAAAATAAAATTGATGAAAACTATAACGACTAAGATTTTACTTAAACCATACAATTAAGGATGAAAAATATAAGTGGTCTTTATAATAGAATTTTTATTACAAAGGTAAAAGCTTAAGGATTAAAAGATTACTCAATCCTATATGGCTACACCAAAATAGTAAAGTCAAGTATATAAGAGATTGTTATAATATAAAAAATTTAAAAATTAAGTTAAAATATCGATTTTGTTTTTAAATCCAAGCCATGCAAATATTATAAGCATAAGATTACTCAAACAGCCCTAAAAAGTAATTAAAACGGGAAGTGTGAAATTATGAAATTGCTATCGTAAATAAAAATAACCTTTAAAAGTCATCAAGCCCGAAATCGGATTTATTGTTCATAAATCCGTTTCCATCCAATTGATCAAATTTCGGCAATCCCGAAATCGGATCCATGCAAGATGCATTTACATCCTCTTCATCCTATATAGGACCTAAGTCCAAACCTCAATGACAACAACATAAGGTTCCAAAAACACATGCTTCACATTGTGTGTGCCTTATGAACATGTTACTTGGCCATTGTAGTATGTAATAAGGCACATATACCTTTCTAGATATATGAATTAGGTGGCTTATGTGCGCAGGGTTGAATTGCCGGGCAAATCTTCTTTGGCGGTGAACTTAGCTTCTCTGCCTAATGATCTGAATGACATGCAGTTGAATATGGTCAACTGCCAAAGAAGAAATTGCCCGGTAATGCACCCGCACATGACTTCTTATGAGCTTTCTTGATGAACAATTTCAGGGTGTCCATGTGTATATATAATGTAGACATAGGTCATGCGTATATACATACACAAGCCTACGGATATTCCCAGCACATCCTCTGTTTAGCAACTCTATACTAGAGAAAGAAAGTGGTCCAAATCTCATGCATGTACACTTTTACTGTTATTGGGCATCATAGATATTTCTTTGAAACTCCATTCATTTAATTTTAATGAAAAGTTGTGAATTGGTTTTTAAATTCAATTCGGAATTGAAATAAAAATTATAAAAAGATTGAATGAAAAAAATAAATAAAAATAAATATATATAAAATGATATTGAAAATTAAAAAAAGTAATAAATATTTAAAAATAAAAAATAAAAATAAGAAAAAAAACTACATAAGAAAAAAAAAAGACGAAAAAAAAAACTAAATAAATAAAGAAATAAAAATAAAGAAAAAAGAAGACCGTAAATAAATAAATAAGAGAATAAAAATAGAAAGGGAAAAAGAAAAAGAAATTAAAAGAAGAGAAAAAAAAAGTTGTTCGATTTATGAACTGTTTTTAGTTCAAGAACTAATTTTTAAAAATCAATTTTTTAAGTGTAACATTTTTTGTAGTTCTTTTTCATGCCCTTAAAATTGATTTTTGAACCTATTCTGAACCTGAATGAAAAATATGAAAATATTGAGGAAAAAA